GCAATACCAATAAAAGACCCACACATTATACATTAGGTTTTATCAATCTCCATCTTCTATGCTATGCAGTAACATGAATTCTTTTAACTATTTTATACAAAGTTATGTCAAAGTAAAGTACCATTCATTGATCAAAAACCTGTTTTACAGTATCTTTCTTTCTTTTTCTTTTTAATTTTTATTAGTGAAACACCATGAGGACTTGAGGACTTACAAATTTTTGTGCTTTACAGTTGAGGACTTGGAAATTTTTGTGCTTGGGTTTCAGTTATACAACGATCGAGTTCCCATCCCTCCACCAGTGCCCATTTTCCACCACCACGGATCCCAGTATCCCTCCTCCCCCCCAACCCCCTCCCCCTCCCACCCTGTCTCTGTGGCAGGGCATTCCCTTTTGTTCTCTCTCTCCTTTTGGATGCTGTGGTTTGCAAAAGAGGCATTGAGTGGCAATCATGTTCGGTCTATAGTCTACTTTCAGCATGCTTCTCCCATCCTGAGAGGATTCTTCCAACACCCTGTATTTGGTGCTCCCTTCTCTATCTGAGCTGCCTTTTCCCCTAGCATGTGTGGCTGGCCTCCAAGCCATGGATACAGTATTATTCTTATATAATCATCTACATACCTGAAATGATATTTGAGTACAGTGGGTTTACATTAATATTTTTTCTAGAGAAATAAGCAGTTATTTTGTCTGTTTTCAAATCTAATTTCAAAAGTATAAAATCAATGTGCTCCATATTTTTTGAAGTGGAGTTCTTGATTTTATCTAATTTGGATAATAAAAAGTTTAAAGCAAGAAATTAAGGGAAAAATAAAGAAAAACCCAAATACCAAAAAATAAAATAAAAAAACTATGAGTTTTTTTTTAATAGCAAAGTTTTATAGAAAGGACAAAACAAAACTATATATTTATTTTGCCTATTGTTCTTTAGGTCTCTTACAGAAATCAGTCATGGTATTTCAAAGTAACTCAATAAAATAAATGAAGCTATATATTAAATTAATATATTCTTAATGTTCTGAATCACTAAACCGTATGAGCTTCTCATCTCCAGGTCTGAAATTTTATATTTAACGTTTGAGCGAGGACTTTTCTTCATCCTTATTGTAGTCATTTTCTCCTTCTACAAAGTAAATTTTACTGGTACATAAATATCGTTAAACATCATGAGCATATTTATTCTTAGAATATAAAGGTGTAAGACCTAATAATTCCAAATATTTTCAAACTTGTATCTGCAATGCAAATAGAAATAAAGATAATATGCTGAAGCTGCCAAACAAGAGATTTAAGGTAGACATATATAAAAACAAAATTAAAAAAAGATGACAGTAAAGAGAATAAGTATAAAAAAGAAATAAAAACAATAATCTTTTAAGATTTAGTTATATCTAGAATTTAGTATATGGAAAATAGCTTTATTTAACTATTACTTTACCATTAATACCACTGATTCATAGTCATGTTTATTTTAAACACTGCATTTGTTAAAAACAATATTAAATTTTTTATGAAACAAAATATTTTTTTTGTTTGTTTTGGAGACATACCTGGCTGTGCTCAGGTCTTTTTCCTGACTCTGAGCTTAGGGATCACTCCCGGCTGGGATCAGAGGAGACAATTTTTGAGCCCGGGGAGGAACCAGAGTTAGCTCTGTGCAAGCAAGCACCTTAATCACTGTACTATCTTTCCAGCTAAACAAATCAATTTTTAAAATAAATTACTGGAATATGTGTGTTATGAAACATATGATCATCATGTAGACAAGTAATTTTAGAGTTACACATTTTAAGATCATTTAAGCAATCTAATTTTTTCAATAGGTTTTATATACACTTAAACATTGCTTCTTAAAGTGAAAATTAATAGAATTTACACAAATAAGTTTCTTACCTACAATATACATATATTTCTTTAAATATCAGGATTGAGAAAATTATAAATAAAGTTTATTAAGAGTTTTAGTGGCCATATAAGCAAACTGCCATCTTGTGGATAACTTGGCAATGGACCAGTTATTTCTGTTAAGTAGTAATGCTTAAGTTAAATAGTAATGTTCACAAGAGTTAAAACCCGTAGAAATGCTTAAGTTTTGCCTTTACAAGTATCACCTGTGGACATGTTTATTTCTTCTGAAGTTGATATTATCCTAAACCTTATTAATATGTAAGTTGGGAACATTGGGAGGATACTTCCTCCACTTTAATTAGCCTCTAGTGCTGATTTGTTTTGATAATATAAATAATTAGTTTAACCACAAAATTGATGTAACAGAAATAATTGTCAGGCAATTAAATACTGCAATGATTTCAGCTCCTGGGAAATATATAGTATGTAAGTATAGTAATAAAACTGAGATGTACTTGGCATGGGCACAAATGTATTTGATTCATCAAAAATATTTTTACAGTTTAATAGTTTTTAGGTGAAAAAAATCACGAATATAATTTCATTGAGAATGAAACAGGCAAAATTAATTGGGTCTCTCCTTATATTGTTTTCTTTTGTTTTTTTTGGGGGGAGGAGGGGGATCCACACCCACTTTGCTCAGGAACTGCTCCAGGCTCTGTGCTCAGATATCATTCCTGACAGTCTTCTGGGAACCTTGTGTGTTGCTGATGATTTAACCCACATTGGCCACATGCAAGAAAAATGCCTACATGCTGTATTATCTCTACTAACCCCTAAATATTCATTAATCACTTAAAAATTTTATTTAATGTCATGATTGCAAATAGGTTTGCAATTTGCTTATTAAAACCATTTGAACAGGTATTTATCTTAAAACCTTGAACAGTTTATCCTATGTTTACATCAAACAAAATGCAACCTTATTTTGGAAGTTACTTTTTTCTATCTATAGTTATAAAATTAAACTGTTTTACAATGTTAGAAATGGAGGATATGTTATATTTAATAATTGTTTTTATATGATAAATTTTCTTAGCAGGTTTAGTGTCTTAACTTTATCATTTGTCCAACAGAAATAGAGTTGACATACTTATTGTCCAAATTCATCTTTCTGATCTGTCATTTTATTTATGTCATTTTATAGGAAAATAATTTTTATACACATTTTAATCTAAGTGACCGTGTTTTCAAGCAGAGATGAAGTTGCTTTCATCTTGGTCCATAGTCATTTTTACAGATAGTCTGAAGTCCAGATTCTTGTTATTGAATAATATGATTGAATTTCAAATGTTACTGGGGGGTGTAAAACATTACTTTATTTTTTAACCCTGAATGAGTCAGTGCTATAAATCAGTTTATCCGTGACATTTCTTAAAGTTTTCAGTGTTTAGAGCAATACATATTATTATTTGGAGTGCACTGAATTGAGACACCCTTTAAAAAGAATACATTTGATATTTGTATAATTGCAACAATGGTACATATCTCTTATATTTACATAATAATTATTATTTTATATAGTATCTTCCATGCATTGTATCATATAATCTATACCCAACTTTTTGATTTTTTTGCTCTAGGTAGTATTGTCATGAATGTTAAATTTACATAAATATAAAAGTTAATATTCTAAAGTTCTTGTAGACAATAGGGAATAAAACATGAATTGGAGAATGAATCTTCTGAATTCAGTTCTAGAATGTAGGTCCCTAAATCTCATACTGAGTCTTCAAATAATCAGATCAATGGTCATGAAAGCTAGTAATAGTAGAAAAATTTGAATTTATGGTCTGTAAAGTTTCTTTTAATATACATTCAATTCTCACAATCCCGCTGAGTCATAAAATAAATTGCTTTTTCTCTGGGGGGATTATAACAACTCCTTACCTTAATTCAGTTCTTTAAAAGAGGAATCAACATAAAAGCATACCAGGGTACTGTTGGTGACCTTCCTTTCTTAAAGGTGGGTATGGATGAGTGAATTTCTCTCTCTCCAGGTGGTTGTACTGTTTGCATGCTAAGCTGCACAGCTTTTCAAAGGGCTTGCCCTAGGATATGACTGGGCTGGGATTTAGAAGGAGCTGGTCATTGAATAGCTCTGGTAATTCTTGCATCTCACAGTTATGCTGGAGACAGCTCCTTTGGTAGGAAAAGCTTGGATATATTTCAAGGTGATTGTAGTTTTGTCCCCCTGGAAGCAAGCTGCTGCAACCAGCTTAGCCCATTATCCTTCTCTCCCACTGGACTTAAGCCTGGGGAGAAGTCTGGGGCTTTTGTCAGGATAGAGGGTTAGGTACAGATAATTATTCCCTGTTTGTACTCTAACAGAATAGCACTGTATTACAAAGTAGTCTTCAATTACTGTCATGGATTTGTATAAAGTTCCAGTGACTTCTAAATTACTCTGCGTAAAAAAACATTGTTTTGTATTTTATTCAGCAATGATATTTTTTCAATATTTCCTTCTTAAAACTTCATTATAGAAATATTTGGAGACACTAACATTCAGAATAAGATATATTTTTATTTTTTATTTTTTGAATTAAAAATAGATGGCTGATCTGACCAAATCAGATATTTGATTTAAAACTCTTCTGTGCAACTCTCTACACTGTTATATATTATTTCAACTTAGCTGTCTTATTCTCAGGGGGCAGTTTTGGAAAATCAGTGTAACATAATCTGAAAATTTAAAAAGTCATGCAGCTCTTACATCAATAATTTTCTATAATACTTATCCTGTGAAATGCCCTGTATAAGTAGCGATTTAATAAGTATACCTGGAAATAAAATTCCCCGCTGATACTAATTAATTATGAAAATTGGTCCTAGCGTTTTTGAGAGGGAGTACTTACAATTTACTCTGCTCCAGTAGCTCAATACCACTTTCAACCCCCTGTGAGCAAAAATTATAGCCAGAGTTGAGCATTACAATTTTCAGCTGACAGTTTAGGGTTAAGATATGATTCCAGGTAACAGAAGCCAATGAGAGTACACCCAGTTGATGTTTGTGACATCATCTTCCAGCCGGAGTACATAGAACAGCTGAGGTAGCGTTCAGTTTCAGTCCAGCGCCGTTATGATGGATGTTTACATCTCTTCATTGAGAGCCAATTATCTCGCTTTTGTGTGAGGCCCAAGAATCACTCATGCTGCCAGGTTTCACAGAGCTCCGTTGGATCTAGCTGAACGAATTGTTTTCCCTGTCTCTGGTAGGAGCTTCTTCTGTTTTACCTTCTCTTTCAAAATAAAGGTACGTTTCTAACAGAGGAAACTGGAAAGAAACGTGTGAGGGTTGAACAGTATTATTACTTGGTAAGCTTTTAATCAGAGCATTGTCTAGTGTTATAAAAAGGAAGTGTGGTTTAGTAAAATGAATTTCAAAGAAGCATGCTAACGTATACCTGACAAACTAATTTGCAGTAGAGATGAATGGGAGGTAAATTCAGTTTTTCTTAAAAAAGGAAGTAACTTATAATTGGATTAATATTTTGAATTTTTAAAAAATATGAACAGTTATAATACAATTCTGCTTCATTCCTAGTATTTTTTTTTGTGTTTGGTAAGAGTAGAGGGAGAAATGGCAATCAAATAGTTGCTATAAATTTAAAATAAGTGAAAGTTTTTAACTGCTAAATTAGTTCTTTGGGACAGTTTTCCAACGTTGTATTAATATGGGGAAGAAGAGGTTTGCCTATTTTTTAAAAGGTTTAGCATTGAAATTAAGTTGTAGTACTCCATGGTATTCAATTGCATTTTAAACTAAGGGAGGAATAACAGCAAATAGTTTAAAGAAACACATTTGATTATTACATATTTTTTGGAACTCAGAAATGTTAGTTATTATTACATAAAGTGCTTTGGATCACAAGAAAGTACTGTTTTGTGTATATATGTATATTTAAATACCCCAAATAAATATTATCGCTATTTAATCATTTACTAGTATTGATGCTTATATCTGAGAATACTATAATGTTGTAATAAAACAAAATTATTCACAGCTATTAAATTGCTGTGGGTATAGGTGATCTGGTAAGGGATTCTGGAAATCAATATACAGTGAAATATTTAATTGGCTCAGAATGTTCCCATGCTACCAAAATTAAGAACTTAAAAAAAACTTTTAATTCCTTAAATAGTATATATTAGCAGAGTATGAAGTACAGACTATTAATATTTTAGAGCAGCATGCTACTGAATTCATGAAATTAGGGCACAGAAAAATATATCATTTAACATGTTATCTTAGTAATAGCTCCATATCTTCTACAGTAATAAAACTTTTGAATAATGATTGTCTCTCTGGACTTAATAAATTTGGAAATATCAACTTTACTTTTACTCATCTTTAACATTGACTATTTCTGTCTTTGTGGAGTAGTAATTTGGATAATTACAATTTGGAGTGGAGTTGTTCAAGTTGTACTAAAAGACAGCACGGGGTTCTCAGCTATGTCACACTTCTGTATCATTTACTAGCCCAGTCCTGTTTGGCAGTACTTGACATCACTGTTGTTTGATTTGTCTCCTTCAGTCAATTCAGGTCTGAACAAAATTGAGTTTATAGAAAGTGTTAGATGTGTATTAATGGAATCTAAAGAATTGACTTTTTTGTTTCAGTCAAAGCAATATATAACCAACCAAACCTCAAAAACTTACAAAAAAGCATCTGAAACTACTTTTTTTGTAGGAAGATTTCTTTTTGACATCTTCTGTGAATTTTAAAATCTAAGTGTAGGGATCTGAAATGTGGACTTAAAAGCACACTGATTCACTGCTTGGAAATGATTTTTTTCCTTGAAGTACTTTAAAGTGGAGTTGAATAACCCAAAGGTATTGACTCTGTCATTTTCACAGGTGATCAATCTTGACCAAGGAAAGCATTTGTTTCCTAACAATTAATTCTCAGAAAATCTATTCTGTCAACTCTGAAGAAAATCTTACTCAGCCAATGAACAGCCTAGACATTCAAAATTTTGTTTTCTGTTCCATATTCATGCTTCTCTTATTGTCACCATTTCTTATCACAAATGAACTGCTTTAGTAGAGATTGGAGTGTTAAAATTGCTAGTCTATTTTTCTTTTAATATTTTTTAAGGTACATATATATGTATGATTTTTTTGGCTGGTAAAATTTATTGGATGAAAGATTTTACCTTTAGATTTTTTTGCGTGGACATCAATGCACTTTTTCATGCCAGAAAATGCTTAGGAAGAATTCTTGGAATAGGGAGCCATAGGTCAGAGATAATGATGTTGCATGCACGCTGTGCTTTTTTGCCTGCTTTCTTATACAACTATCTTTTTTTTCTTTTGGTCTGAATTAAATGACAATTTTTTTCTTTCCTGTCATTTTTTTTTTGCATTTCTTCTTTATATCACCTCATCCAGTTCCTTATGGTTGGTATGCCAGGTTAAATATTAATAAATACCATGTTTTATAGGTGTTAAGTTAGGATGGAAAAAAAGTGCATAGTGAAATAATGATTCTTATTATCCTTTCTGAAGTTCTTTAAATTGCTCTGAGTTTGAGCTTGTATGTGTCTTCTTTTGAAAATTGTTCCTCAATTTCTGTTTTTATCTAATTCAACATAAACTTCTTTCCTCTCATGTGCTTTCATCTTCTCCAGGAACTTAGTTTGTATAAACTCTTGATTAATTTTCATTAATATTAACGATTAACACCATTTGTTTTTTGCTGTCAGCTCAAGCAAGCACTTAGATAAACCCTGAATTCTTGTTCTCCATTTGTGTGTGTTTCTGTGTGTGTGTGTGTGAGAGAGTGCAAAAAGCACAGCAATTTTTTATTGATAGTTTTAAGAAGATGTGAAAGGAGAAAATGGGAGAAGTATATGTTTACGAAAGAACACAGGCTTCTCTGGAGTAGAAATAAGCAAAGAGGCATAGAGACAAGCATGTGCGATATGTGCTCAAGAGAGATAATGGGCTTACAGTGCAAGACAAAATTTCCATTTCTACTCTTTTGTTTTTGTGTTTGGGGTAACACAGCTGGCTGGGCTCAGGGAACACTCCCAACTGTACTAGGAGGTGAGATGTGGTACTGGGGATTATACCTGGGTTAGTTTGTATGCAAGGTAAGTGCCCAACCCACTGTCCTTTTCCTCCAGCCCAACAGAATTCTTGTCTTAACAAACTTTGATTCTTGACTTTCAAGAGAAACAAAATGGTATAGTAAATATGATATCATGTTAGGTAATTTGTGCATCATGAGTTTTATGTGCATAAATATGTTGTGCTTTAAAGTTTTAAAATTTTTTCTTTTTTTTTTTCTTTTTGGGTCACACCCAGCATTGCACAGAGGTTACTCCTGGCTCATGCACTCAGGAATTACTCCTGGCGGTGCTCAGGGGACTATATTGGATGCTGGGAATCGAACCCCGGTTAGTTGCGTGCAAGGCAAACAAACACCCTACCCGCTGTGCTGTCGCTCCAGGCCCAAAGTTTTAAACTTTTAAAGTTGTTTTTATGAGCACAATATAGTGCATTCATAAGAAACTCTGATAAATTTGTCACACAGCAAAGAAAACATACTAATAATTTTTAATTCATTATTGCTATAACCTAGTGGGTAAATCAGTACAGGGAAAAGGCAATAATCAAAAGCAGGCTTTCATATTTCAATAACTCCTCTAATTTATCTTTTCCCATCTCCTCACACACACTCCTTTTCTCTTTCTCTGTCTCTGTGTTTCTGTATCTGTGTCTGTCTCTCTATGTCTCTCTCTCCCTCTCTCTCTCTCTCTGTCTTTTCTCTCTCCCCCCCTCTCTCTGTCTTTTCTCTCTCCCTCTCTCTCTCCACCCCTCTTTTTCATATTACTCTAAATAGCTGACTAGGCAGTAGACTTACTTTCACTTAAAGTTTCTATGTATTTTTTCCCCTCAAATGTTCTAATATAAAGTCTATTTGTAGATATTTCATATTTTGAGTCTTTTGAAATATCTATAAATTATTTTTAACTCACTCTATTTTAAAATTCTTTAACAATTTATTTAGATTTTATAGTTATATGGCTTTAGAAAGGGTTTAGAGACATTTAATATTTTGAGACATTTAAATGAGAAAATGTCATGTTTTCTTTTAACTATAAAAAATTTCTAAATGATTGTTTTTGAATAATACAAACAATTTAATCTACTGTTCATTATCTATTTTCATGAATTTGGCATATATTATTACTGGTTCCTAGGAGAGTGAAATAAAAGGTATATTTACTGCCTACTGAATTTATTTATGCTTGGCAAATAGTTCAAATGTAAAGCAAAAAAACCTAAAATCTATCCTCAGAGAAAATCAATCTGTACATATACATTGAAGATAAACCATTTTTAGATGGTATCATTTAATTAGCTAAGAAGAATCTACCTTGTGACAGATAGATAAATTGTGAAAGAATTGAGTTTGCTACACACACTTGATTTAGCAAAAAAGGATATATTATAAGGATATTGCATTATAAAGCTATATAATCCTAAATTGAGTAACTATGCTAATGTGTTTTAACATGTGCAGAATTAAGGAGATAAGTGGGCAGTAATAAATAAGCTCACAAATATAAATTTTATGATATATAAAATTTGATTTCGAGTCAGCCAGAAGATTTTACTTATAGATGTTTCACTTTTATGTTTCAACCTGTAATTTAATTATAAACTTATTAGATTTTATTTGTTTTCATATGTGTAGAGGTGAACACCTCTGTTATCTAATAGTTCATGATCTAAAGTGTATGATGAAATAGATATAGAACTAGACTAAACTTCATCTCTTAATTCCTTTTATTCTTTATCACTAGTATAAAAGGTTAGTTAATGTGTTTTTCTTTTTTAAATCTGTATGTATAGGGGACTGGGTAAAATACAATGATTAAGAGGCGTGCCTAGCTGTCTCTAAGCCATTCTTAATCTCCAGCACCACATAGAACCTAAGTATCAGCAGTGCGGACCTGCTTGCCCCCAAGCACGTGACTACAGTGCCATGGATAATCCTTGACATCTTTGAGTTTTGCTCAGGCCCTCAGGAATCAGGGATTAGCCAAGAATCACCAATAGAGTCCCAAGGACTCAAGAGAATCATATGCAGCCCCTCCCCAACCAAAAACAATTAAATAAAATATGCATTATACTTTCACTTTTTTAAAATTTAATAAAGCTTATACATTATAGTTAGTCATATCAAGAGAAATACTAA